CTAAACCAACCTGTTTAATCTTTGAGGTTTTTATCATTTGTATAACAGACAAAGATGTTGTCATTTGCATGGGTGAATTGAGTATAAATTTTTAATAAGTAAGCGGACACTATCTTTTGTTTTTACAAGTATATGCAAAATATTGACCCATTTTCTTATTTTTTTCTCCATTTATAATCTTCCCAAATCTGAATATTCAACCTTTACATTGATAAAATTGGAAGAAAATAAAATTATCTGGCTGGGGTCAGTGGCTCACACCTGTAATCCTAATACTTTGGGAGGCCGAGGCAGGAGGATTACTTGTGGCCAGAGTTTGTAAAGACCAGCCTGGGCAACATAGCAAGACCTGGTCTCTACAAAACATTTAAAAATTAGCCAGACATGGTGGCACATGCTTATAGTCCCAGCTGGTCAGGAGGCTGAGGGAGGAGGATTGCTTGAGCCCAGGAGGTTGAGATTGCAGTGAGCTATGATGGTACTACTGCACTCCAGCCTGGACAGCAGAGTGAAACCCTGTCTCAAAAAAAAACTTGTAATTTCCCATAAGTAGTATGAATTTTTTTCCCATAAATTAAAAATTATGCTTACTACAGTGATGGAAATTCAGTAGGTATATTTAAGTATCTGAGAAGAAGGATATACTGGAATTATGTCTGACTTCTTTGGAGATTGAATATAGTGCAGTAGTTCTGCAATTTACCTCTGTGTTTCTAAATAACATGCTTTAACTGCTTCTTGTTTCACTTGGCCATTGTCTATGAGTTTCTCTGAGACATTATGATTCAGTTCTCACCACTACACACACAAACACACACACACACCCTTTCCATCCCCTCATCCCAATATAATTATATGGCAATTTTGGTTAGGCGAGTATTCATGATTACAGTATTATGGTCATTTAAGTACTATCACATAGTTTAAGTCCCCTCAACATTACAGGTAAATTGTTAGAATTAATAATTAAAATGTCAGTTCTCCCCAGGTTGATCTAAGTTTCAATGTGGCAGCCATGAAAGTCTAAATAAGTTTTTTCATAGAACTTGACAAGGTAATTGTAAAATTTATTTGGGAATATAAAGTACCACGATAGGACACCTGAAGAAGATCAGAAAATTGGAAACACTTGCTCCACAGGATATTGAGACTGACTCCAAAGCTACAATAAGAAGACAGTGTGCTATTTTCTCAAGGATAAATATACCATATAGTGGAATAGGGAACCAAAAAAAAAAACCTCCAAGAATATATAAGCATTTGATTTAAAGAAACCAAATGAAGGAGAAAATATGTAAGGAAAAGATCTACTTTTCAATCAGCAGTGCTGTGATAATTGACTATCAATCTGGGGAAAAAGTGAAACTTGACCCCTTCCTCACACCATACCAAAAATCAGTTTCATGTAGCTTGTAGCTTTAGTGTAGAAAAGTAAAAGAGGAAAACATCTAGAGATATCTTCAAGACTTTGGGTGGTGGGGAAAGACATTTAAGCTGAATCAAAAGGAGTCATCCTAAAGAAAAAGACTGATAAATTGGACTACATTTAAATTAAGAACTTTTGTTCATTAAAAGCCATCATTAACAAAGTGAAAAGTGAGCCACTCATACCTGACATAAGACTTGTGTCTGGAATATCTAGAGAACTCTTACAAATCAATAGGCAAAAATTTTAAAAAATGGGCAAGAAATTTGAACAGACACTTCAGACAAAAGATTATCCAAATGGCAAATGAATATATGCAAAAGTGCACAACCTCATTAGTAATCAGGGTAATGCAATTTAAAACCACGATGAAATGGTACAACACCCCCCTCCAACATGGCTGAAATGAGAAAGATTGCCAGTACCAAGTGTTGACGAGAGTATGGAGCAGGGGAATGCTTCTATACTTTTGGTAGGAATGTAAATTATAACCTGTAACCCAGCAGTTGCTCTCCTAAGTGTATATGAAACAGAGGGTGCGTGTAGGCCTGTACACATGTTC